GAACTGTGATTAAGAAGGAACCAATTGATCCAAACCCCAATGTTGCTGAACATGATATATTTGGAGGAGCAGTGAGTGATTCTGAGGAAGAGGATGCCACTTTGCATGTATTGGAATTGGACGAGACAAGCCAGAATTCTGCTGAAGACAGTCATTTAACAGATTCAAACTCAGTTATGGTATTATTTTTATAGGTAGTTATATAAACAGTTTTATAATTTATTCAATGTTTCAGAACAACACTGTTGACTCCAAGATACTGACCGAATTTTCGACAGATATGTTTAATTCAATGGACATATCACCACTACAAGACTTAGATTATTATCAGCCCCAGTCATCTAGTGTCTGTTATTCTTCAATGAATTTGTCTAGAGGTAAATATATACCAAATGTTAGTTTTCATCTTTACTAATGTCTATTTTTTAGCGAATATTGAAACGAGATTGGAAGAGGTGCCAGGGAGAGATTGCAACAATCAAAAATAGATTGGCACAGCATGAATCTGAAATTGAGAACATCGAGAACCACTCATTGAGGCAAAGGTTCCAAGAGATATCTAGTCGCCTATACCAAGAACAATCTGACAAGGAACGCGAACAAGTCGAACTGAACGAGCTTTTAAAGCAGATCATATAAATATTTTCTTTTATTTTTCTACATCTTGTTCATTTTGATCATGTACTTATTTTTATTATATATTACATTGTTTTCCATTCTACATTTTTTTTCGAACTGCTATCTCACGTTCGTACATCGATAGGAAACCTATGTAAGTTCGATGTTTAGATTTTTTAAGAAAACTTATATTTACAATTTGAAATGAACTTCTAGCAAGTCGCATTTTTTAAATATTTACCAAAAAAAAATTGTAATTTTTCTGTTATACATTTATTAATGTTTGAGCGCGTGATTACATGAGCTGGTTACTCTTTTTTTTATAAATAATAAATGTAAAAAATAGTGTTTTAAGGATGATATTTTTATCTATAATAATAGTCCTTTTTCTTAATTATTTTTTTGATTGAATTGATGACTGCATTTGATTTTATGGGTCAATGGTTTGCATTCAATGCAAATGAAAACAGAGGAAACGTAAGACCTTCGCTAATACAATCATAAATTGCAAGTTTTCTCGCCATCAATAGGTAATTTATTGCAAAATCCATTTGAGGATTAATTGTTCTTAATTTCTTTTATTTTGCAGGCTTCAACTTTGCGCATTGATTTTCAGCAGATGTTGATTATCGCTGTCGAAAGAGTTGCAGCCTCGTTACATAATGTTATTAATTGCCTGTGATTGACTAGGCCAGATGGTGTCGTTCACATTGTTTGCAATCGACAACTAATTTAACTTAAACATAAAGTTCGCCAATATTCGAAGAAACGTCTTGGACAAATCGAATAAATGTTTTATTATGAAACAGTCGCCAAAGACGTTGTTCTTTGATTACCTTCCCACTCGAAGGTTGCATTCGTTGAGTGTATAATTTACGCATTGATTACTTTCTGCGTGGTCGACTGGCCGTCTGCTAAAGGTCCTTGGAGCATTCGCTACAAAATGCATCTTCAGATGACTAACTGTACATACTACGTGCACATTTAAATAATGCACGTGATCGAGATTTTGAGGATAAGATTAAATTTGATAAAACTCTTGTCAGCAAGGAAACACATCATAATAGATATGTGATAGTGTTCTATTCGGTAGTGAATATTGGTTACAAAGCAATGATTCGTGGGTCCATTGAAGAGTATAGGGAGGAAAATGTGCGACAAAGGTTTCCCAGGAATCGAAGACCAAATGTCCCATATAGTTCGACTCCTAGTTTACCACAAAATTCGCCTACCTTACGACAGCGATTTGCCCAATTCGCAATAAACTTCTTCAAGAAAGATTGCAAAAGCAACAAAAAGAAAATAGATTAACTTAACACAACAAATTAAAGTAATTAATTGTTTGAAAAAATTGAATTTTTTTTTACAAATTTGCTATATGCTAATTACAATAAAAACAGATCAAATGAAAATTATCAAATCTACAGCTTTACAACAATTCACTAGCAATTTTGTGAAAGATTTGTCATAAAATATACAACTTATGTAAGTAGATTGGTTACTTTTTTGACGCCAATTATAAGGAAAATACGTTTACAAACGATTCTAGTAAAATTTTACCTAATTTCATGGATAAGATAAAATAGTATTAATATGTTAAAATACATGAAATATTATAATATTGGGAAAAATAATGAAGAAATTTAGCAATATTAAAAATAATTTATATCTAGATAGATATTTTGCAGCAATTTTGGATCAAGTGGCGCGCTTACTGCACCATTTAAATTTTGCATAGTACCTTATCAAAAATAAACTATTATTTAGCTGCAAAATGTTACAAACTAATTAATAATCGGTAAGTTATAGATATTTGTTATCAAGAAAGTGTTTATAAAAAATTGTTATTTTCAGAAGGATCAGAAAGTCTCGAATAAGAGGACGGTCGCTGTTAAGAACATGTTTGTTCACCATATTTTTGTTTAAACTGTTTTAAATATGGTAATGTTGATTTGTCTTTTTCATATCCCAAAAAAAAAGTAAAATTGCGGGAATGCGCGCTACAATTACCTGATCAAAAATTTGTTAGTTCGTAATTTATGAAATTCTATGTGTCGTTGCTCTTAGATATCATGTAAATATTGAATTTGTAGTCTTACATGTTAGTCACTAAATAATAGTTATTAGCTGGTCGAGTGGGCATAATATATGTACAGTTGAAGATGAAATGTTTAATAATAATAATAATCTATTTTTTTATGTTCATTGTCGAATGCTGTCTATTGGAGTTGCAGATTCCTTAGCTGCGCGATCGATTTCAGAGTAAATTGCACGTATATTTAATGAAGGTGTGCATCACACGCTACTCTCTATTTTTTGATATATTCGTTGTGAAATATTGATTTTTCGAAGTCTTATGGTTGTGTGGTGGATAATCAGATAGATATAGGATTAATGATGAATAAAATGAAATTTCTGTATTACACAGGCGTAGATTTAATGAATTTTTATATATTTTTTTTTTATATAAATTATGAACTATTTTTAATGCGCTTCTGTATAATGTAAGCAGAAAGGTAGTAAAAAAAAATAAATAAACAAGAAATGTATTTGTTTACTTTTATGATACCTCCAGGAAACAAAACGAAAACAAGAGTTGGAAAGAAACCAAACATGGAATGTTTATTTTATTTTCGTAAACAAGCACAATGCGATTTGATGAAGCGGCGTGATTCATTGTTGCTGTATTTCAATTCAACAGCATATCAATTTACATTTAAAGCCAAATAAGTCAACTGCTGGTGCAATGCTAGTGCATCAAGCAAACATTGTGTATGTATGGAAGAACAGACCACGTCTGTGAGTCACATCAGCACGTTCGTGTTAAGTAGAATAAACAATATATATATATATAACATTTCGCTAAATACGGCCTAAACGTTTACCCTTGTCGAAGCTTTCAACTCGATTTTCACTTAAAGTTAGTGACCGTATGACTAACAGAAACAGGCGTGCCCTTCCACGGTTCGGCCATTCGCAGTTGTTTTTTATTTATTTGGTCCGCACATAAAACTGCCCTATCGATCCTCCTTCATGTTTTATTCGTGAACAGCCACATACACTCATTTTCGGAGAAGTAAAATAAGAAATGAAGATAAATATATAGGATATAGGCGTGACTACTACACAAGATAGGAACAAAAAAGGCACGTCATTTGCAAGAACCGACTTGTACTTTTTACGAAAGTTGTTTAATTTTTATAAAGGCGCATTATTACAAATAGTAAGAAATAATCACAATCGAGTAAAATATATATATATAAATTTTTATATATATATGTATATATACGCATACATATAAATATATAGATAATATAAATGGGGACAAGAAAAATACAGCATTTGACGAAACGAGCAATTATTTTTTTTGTTTTGTTTTCAAGCTGGCGACTCTTTACCAAAAGCCTGAAGAGTAACCACCCGGTGGCACGCGGGTTCTCTGCGCCTGTTTCAAATTAATTTCGTTGTTCTCCAGCTTATCATCGTTGCCTTCTTTGATGGGAGCTGCAACCTCCTTGATATCCAATGGCACATCATTGATCGCCACAGGACCATCGTTAACCGGTACTTCATCCTTGACGACCGGCTCCGTTGTCGCCTCAATCTTGTTCACTACATTGTTACCATCGTTAACCGTCTCCAGTTCTTCCTTCTTAGTTACAGTCTCTTGTGTGATTTCAGTCTTAGTTTCTTGGTGCATAAAGCAGTCCTTGATCTCTGAGGTGTTTTGATGCCTGATCTGCTTCGGCCTCTCGTTCTCGCATTGGCCAAAGATTTGCGAGTATCCACCGCCCGGAGGTTTTAAAACCCGGCTCGAATTGCGCCCATCCAATATTCCCACATTGATGTTGGTAGATGACATTCTCGACATTTATAATAGCAACGGACGTGGAAAGATAACTTACTGTTGACTGCACAGCGAACGAAAAGCAGATAGAAAAAAAAAGACAATGTATGAAATTCGTTGAACAGTTCTTACCGGTTCGCACTTACCTTACTAGCTCGCACGGAGGTTCAATGTGACTATGAATCGTCGTCGGCGAATGAATTAAACAACGCCGCACCTAGCTAGTCATTGGTTCGCACGCCCGACCCTGCCTTTATCCTATTGGTCCATTCATAATTTAACCGTTCTGAACATCGTGCAAACCGGCGGATTCCTCTTTGGCAACCTCGCCAGCGTTGCTTCTAGGGAAAATATTTATTTTATTTCTTGTAATTCTTACAACCCTATTACCGCCCCTCAATTGGGGCATATCGGCCCTACCATTTCGGTGCATTTTTTTTCATTTTCACTTCCGGTAACATCCGAACCTTTAAGTTTTATATGAAAGAAAATATGTCCATTATGTACTTTGCAGCTGTCGTTCCTTGTAAGCAATCTACCATACCACGAACTTTTAGTTCCAAGTATAACCATTGATGATTAATATAGTTATAATCAAACTTTGATCCACTGTACTAAGCCTCCTATATGCATATCAGTAGATACGCGCGTGGAATATGAACTTTTAAATGCTATAAAAGGCTGATTATCCATCTCCATTCCATGGGTTACTCAACCTTGTAACGATTTTTTTTTTAAATAAAATAAACATCCACATGTATTATTTCAATTAAATATTATTAATAAAGTAACGTTATTTTTATTATTTGCATTATTCATAAAAGTGGACACCGACAGAAATTATTATTTTTATATAAATTATCATACAAGGTACAATTCTTATTTGGAAAAATGGTGTACTGAATAAATGATTATTTGTTTGTTTGTTTCATATCTATTATTTGATGTTAATCATATATTACTAATCAAACTTGTATTATTTCTAATGAATTTCTAAAAATAAATAAATAATAATTTATTGGCCAAACATCGATACATAAGAAGAAGAGAAAAAAAAAGTACAATTTATACATAAATAAATTTTAACATACAATAAAAATATATATACTAATAGGCTGGCCAAAGGGCTAACGACCGAGGTCTTTCCGCCCAATATGAATTTCTATTTCACACTATTTACTAAATTTTAAGGATATTAAATCATTCCATTTATGACTTTAATAAACTTCTTCCAGACAACAGAAATTAAAATTAAAACTATAAAGAAGTATATAGAAAATATCACAACATATGGAATGATTTGGAGAATCTTTGCACATACACGTATTTAATAACCGTGCGCTTTTTCCATTCGCAATATTCACATCGAAAAAAGTGAAAGCGTTCATGAACTCACGTTGATTGTTTATTAGAAAATATTCCTTAGAAAGTAGTAATTCGTGTAAAATTTTGTTTCATGCATCGAAAGATCATTTGCTTCAAACGGTAGCATTAAATGCAACTGCAGCAAAACCAATTTATTTCCTGCTTCGTTTGCTTTTGTCAAAGTTTACAAACGCATTCATTAATTTTGCTTTAGCCAATGAATGTTGGATTTTAAAATGGACGCAACAACAAAATAAAAAAAAAAGAAAACAACGATTTTTTGTACACGAGGATTGAAAATATGTCTTTATATAAACTACAAAAAATGGTCTGTAGTTAACAATTATCAACATTGTTTATCAAAATTTAGTTTATAGTGTGCATTGAAATAAAATTTATATACTGAATTGGTAAACATTTACCATTCTATTAATCATATTGGAATTCGATTTCGCGAATAAGTTGTTATTAAACTTGCCGGATCGATATAATACTCGTCCTATTCAGCGTTAATAATATTATCTGTATCGAGTGTTTATTGGCCTCCGTTGGCCGCAATTCAATTTACTAAATACCCTATCAATATAATTCCTATAAATTCGTAATTAGCATTCGATAATTTGATTAATATTGGTTTTAGACCCGTCAAACAGAAAACGCTAGCTGCACATTAATCAAATTACACTTTGCACGTTTTCTACCTTCAGATATACTACAATTTTACAACTAGACAAAAAATAATGGGAAAAAATGTAAAGATTTTCTTATATTTTTTATAAGTATATACTTGGATTGGAACAGAACTCCTATAGACAAGTAATTTAAATAAATCTGGAAAAAGTATTTAAAGGAAATTTTAAAGCAATGTGAATTTGATTTTCTTATATTTTATATATATTTATATTTGTATGAAAGCGTAACGAGAATGTTTGTATGGACATACTTCAATGCAAAGAGCTTCTATTTATAGGAAAGTAATAGAATATTTAAATAAATCCGGCACAAAGCGCGTTTTGACTGCTCGTCAACGTGCAACTAAAAGTATGCGACGGAACGATTTAAATCCCTATGGAATTGTTGCAATAACTAACTGCATGTGACTAGCGAATCGTCTGTACTACAGTAGGCGGCGAACTGGAAAATCGTTATAAAGAGGAAAATGCGGATGGATGTAAGTCTTCTGCCATTCCTTATCCGTATATGTATTCAAGTGAATACATATTCAAGTGAATACATATTTTCTTCTTTATTGCTGCTACTCCAACTGTATGTATCAGACATTCCATCTTCGCTTTCCTTTTCCTTTAAACTCTGATACTATTAAAGTCCGACTGCGAGGAAATCAGGTGCTTCTTACAAGTAATTGATTCAAAGCTTATAACTGTCTAGACTTCAGACAGTTGAAATCTGCTCATATGCTAGTTAAAATAAGAGCAATCTAGAAGGTGGAAAATAAACCAGTTTGAAAAATCTGTCTGCATAATCCAATTTCGCGTACGGAAAATGCGATTATTTCATTGTTGCAAAATGAATTGATTTCGAGCATTCGAAATGCGTTCCAGGACATTTCGAAATGGCAGTGGTTTTACGCGGAATTCAATATGATAAAGGCAATTCCATTATGAAAAAAGAAAAGACAAATCTCGTTACTGCGCTTGTTTCCCACAATTGAAACCAATATCAACATTTTTTTTTATTAAATATATATATTTACGTTCATCTATAGAGCCAGACAAATCTAATTTGCAAACGTTAGGTAAGGAATAATCGTATTAGTCGATAAAATGCTAGACGTCCTTGAATTAAAAGCAAACCGTTTATTCCAATAGATTCAATCAGGAGAGGACGATTTTTATGGGAGTACTGACAGTATTGGATACTTGCCCCTTCTACAATAAATATACAAATGCTCAGCACAAACACTTTAGTTAAGTGCTTGAATTATTTGATATTCATTTTTCAATCATATTTACTCTATATTTTTATTTCTACGTAAATTTTGTGATTTTTTAATTAGATTATTTTATAAAAAAATCTAGTTTTATCATCAATATATATATTTTTATGGAATCACTTTTTATCTCATATGCATGCGATCTTGAGCTGGAAATAATCAAGAGCAACACCATTCCGCTGCTGGCATCCATTCAAGGCCACATGCATATATGATGCTTCAAATCTACCATCTATAAGTACTTGTAACGTATTTTACTTTAAAATTGAAAGTTTAAAGTAAATTTCAAAACTGTACTATCTAATTTTATAGCTGAAAGACAATCCTATAATCATAACAATAGTTGAAATATTATTTTATCGTTAAAATTGTATAAAATGTACAATTATTTCTATAGATATTATTTTTTTATATAAAAGATTATCTTGAGGTTATTGATCCATATTGTGTTGCAGAAGTTACTGTATCGTTACATTTAAAGATTTTGGCAGATTGTAGTGAATCTTTTGCCAAAAAGACACGTTGGGGCTATCGACCCGTCTTCCACTCACATAAACAATTGTACGTGTGTTTTTGCGTGTTCATTTCATATATTGTTTAATTGGGCAAAATTTTCACAATCTGGTATTGATTTTATCCTGACGTAAATCGGGAGCGCGTCAATAATAGTGGGCGTATCAGAGCTGCGGATGTTTGCGGATTGTTTATTATATCTTAAGATGAATGTTAGTTAGCATCATCATCTTTCGGTAATGGAATCTTCGTAGGATTCCTAGTAGCCACCTCGGATCAATACGTGGTGCGTCGCAATGCGTGGATCGAATACAAAGCCAAGACTGTCGAGGGTGGTGGAGTAGGAAGAAGAATCGAGCGATTGATTTTACAATGGTGCCGTCTGGCCCATATAAATTTGACAATAATTAAATATGTGTCAGGGTGTAGAAACAACTTTCGAGCTGATTCCTGATGTGTCCACATGCGTGTAGCATCGTTGCCAAGCCTCGTGTAATTTGGGGTAAACCCTTTGCGTGGGTGGCCCACTTCGTGCTAATTGGTACGAAGTTCGAACAAACTGACACCTGGATTTTGGAGCACCTCCTAGGTGACACGCAACCGCTAGCATCTTCATGTAGCATTTGCTTTAAGAAAATGCAATATGCTTTAGAAACATAGGCATTTTTTGCCTCTTGTGTGATGGTGGATCTATGAGTATTGATTAGGGCTGATGTGCGGGGTGGCGCCAGGGGTGGTCCCGACGTCGTCGTCGCTTCGCGTTCTCTCTCGCTTTTTTTCCCCGTTTCGGGCTGGGCCAAGTCGAGCGCCACTCGGCGGCTCGAGATGGGGTCAGGATGGTGTGGGGTGGCAAATTTTAGGGGGTGTTTTCCCCCATTTGGCAACACGGAGCATCGAGCGGCGCACAAAACCTATTTCCACATCGTGTGTCCTTGGCGCTTGGCGCACGGAGAGAGAGAGCACACGGTCGTTTTTAGAAGTTGCAGTGAACGCAGTGAACGTCGTCGCCTTTGGTCTGCTATACATTATATATACCAGTATCTACCAAAAGCGAATTCGTCGAAGTGCCGTGCAATATGTTGGCCCAATAGAATAACCACCTAGATTGAGCAAACCGCATCTCCGAAGAGACAGTCTGCACTAAATCCTATCCAGCTCATCCATATTATCCCCTAAAAACCTAAAAAAACAATAAAATGTTCTCGGGACTAACGAATCAGGTCAGTTCTTGGATGGGCTCTGCCAAGGGAGAGCAAGAGGAGAAGGTTCCCACGCCAACGGAAAACATCGCCACCGTTGAAGCCGAATTCGAGAAAAAGGAGACATACAGGTAAATGTGCAGATCAGATCATATCGTGGAGCGAAAAATCCATACATCTCATTCATTAAAAATCAATTTCAAGGTTGCTATTGTCAAAATTTATAACGTTCCAGTACATTGGGTTGCATAACTGCATTCTCATGCATACGCAACAACACGCCCCCTCAGATCAGAAATTACTTCGAGCATCATCAAGCAGAACTCGAATAAATTGCAGAATTCAAATGAATATGCAAAAAAGTAACATTGCATTTTCATAACTGTCTCTAGTACGGAAGAATTCACCATTGATCGATACGCCTCTGACGCATTCACCCATTTCCATTCCATGTTCTTCCATTAAGCAAATACTTTAGGATCCTCAATATCCAATGGCTCCCAACGGGATCGCTTCTGTTTATCTATACCGGTAATAAGGGTTATTGAACCTCTCCTATTTTACCATCGGTCGCATTTGCGTTGCACTTTAAAATATGGAATAAAGTATGAAAGGCATATTACCTGTCTTGGAGTATCCGCAGCTTTGCAAATGATCGTTGGGGATTCCCCGTTGTTTTTTTTTATTATATGGCCTTCTTTGTAACGACTGCATTGGGAAATCGGGAAACGATTTTCGAACATTTATCACGCATATGCATATTTTCGTCCGGATTACGTACCTACCGCCGTATGCGAAGTGTATGCCACGATCGCTCGATCGGGTCCAGCAATTGGGTTAATTGGCAGTACGCCTGCGTTTTCGGATTGAAATTCCTGTATCGATTCAAAACCTCGGCGCAAATGAATCCTTAGGATTGATTGAAAGACCGTCCTATTTCCAGGATGGTCCTCTCAGGTCACCACCGAATTATCAGGCGCGCCATACAGATACCACCACGCTGGGCGGACTAGGATCGATTAAGTATTCTCCAGGCAAACGCTTTCGCGTCAATACTCCAGATGGAAGATCAATATTTTAACAACTTATTTTGTAATAAAAACTTCAGTTGTTAACCCTTTTAGATCGTATTAGGGTCCATTAAGAATTTTAAATAAAATATTAAAAAAAAAATATATAATATTACATCTACATCATAAATTTGGATTAGCGATTGAAATATTAAAACTGTAATTTATGTAATTTAATGGGCCTGTTCTTGAAAAAACGAAAAAACTTTATGGATGGAATTTATCCGCAAATAGTAATTTTATTACCGGAGATCAGGTGCATGCGGGGGCTTAATATTTTATTGCGAGGTCGGAGGTTCGTTAAACTCGTCGTTGGGACGACGTGTGTACCATTTTGTCGGAAACCAGAAGGGGTCCATTACCAATACATGATTCGCTGATCACGGCCTCGTTTTATCGGAAAAACAAGCCACTTGCAAATTCGATGCATTATTCAGCACATACCCACTACAATGCAGGAAACTGACGAACACAAAGAAAATAAAATGGAAAATTGAAAGGAAATGAAAACGGGGAACACAAACAGTTCGCGGGTAGTTTTCATCTATCCAATTACAATTTGTCGTGGTTAATGTTTGAGTTGAAAGGCGGCTTAAATATTCATTGGGGCCGCGGAAAACTTGACGGTGCTGAGCTAATTTGACCCACCCCAATTAATTAAATGTTTTATTGCGTCTTTTCTATTCTTGTACTTCATTAAGACATTGTTTACCCATTGAAGTTCGTTGACCCTATGACCCAACGATCTCTATATTTTATCATTTCACTGATTTATTTACACTGCATTCTTTGCGCTTATACATTCGGTATTTAATCATCCTTTTCCATCGCATCGTATTTCTTCTTACATTTATTATCAATGAGTCTGCAAAGTTCAAATCAGTTTACCTAAAAAAAAATATGATCTTTATAGTCATCAGTAATTGAATCCATTTTTTAAAATTTTACAATAATTACGTAATTGAAGGTGAGTATTTTCACTTATAAATTTCAGATTAGTAATATAGCTGTAAATTAACAATAAGTACACACTACGCAATACAGGCAAAATAAATTAAAAATCAATTACAAATAGAAATTTAACTTTAGTATTTCTATTCAAATATTTACAAGTTACTTGTCAAATACTGCGTATTTTACTCAGATATATACAGTATATATTATAGATATTTTGCATAATAGTTCATTGATATTTAATGTGTCTTACTGATACCGACTTACGCGCACATTCACATAGAACTTAGACTTAAAGTTAACATTCATGTAAGTTTCTAATCTTTTCAATTAAACTTTCTCAGCAATTATATAATGTAATGAAAAGTAATTATAGTGTATTCAATTAAATGTAATGATATATCTACTCAGCCCATTCATTTATATAATGGATATTTTACTATGTTGTTTATAGTGTATTGATTGCTTCAGAATCTCGCATTAAGTCTAAGTTTTATGTAAACATCGTTTGCTGTTGTCTATACATCTATCTATATATACATAAGTTGGTCCCCGAATGATTATGATTGAGACGGAGGCCACCGCAGTTTCCCTTGATACTCGAATAAGGATGTTCTCAGAGGCTTAGTTACTATATACCCTGAGATAATAGATAATCTTAACTCTTCGCAGATGGAGTGTTTTTTTTGTATTATTAGTTTATGGCGGATAAATCCGCCGCTCGTCTGAAATGGGTTAATACATGAAGCGTACAGTTAACTAATCTTCCTATCCTATCTTCTTGAATGCATCCGGTAAGTACCATTAATTTTGCAGCAAACACTTCACATATGATTTGCATGCAATTGGATTTAAAACGATTACTGTATTAATTATTATTAAAAAAAAAGAAATTCTTTTAGATTTGAAACAAAATGATATACATTTGCAAATTGTCAGTTTATTTGAATGCTTGAAATAGTATTGAAAATCGCGCAACAATCTTTAATTTGTGAAAAGTATTCGAGCAATTTTCGCCCGGCGAATTCCTCGAGCGGGAAAATGAATGAAAATAATAAGAAAGCAGAGTAAATAAAATGAAGCTTGAAGCTTGGGTCAGGAATTTGTTTAATGAGCAAAGAAAATGAAAAAGGATGACGTTCATTTTATTTATTCTCTTTATATTTCTTTAGGAATATTCGATGTTTTGAGTGTCGTTTTACTCGTTAATTAATGTATATTTTATCTCAGGTTTCTGATCGGGCTTTGGTTTAGTGGACGAGGATGTATAGGAGCTATAGGATACGGCACTCGCCGTAATTAGTTCATCAGCAACCGGTATTTCCAAATGAATTTTTTTTTATCATTTCTCTTGCATAAGTTCCATTATACTTGGTTTACTCGAACCCGGCGCATCCATTCATTCATTGCACTGTTGTGATAACCAATATTTTTATAATTAAAAGAAAAACAGTTAATGGCAAAAATATAGAAAATAAATTTTTTTAGTAATAAGAACAAATAATAACAAAAACTAGACATATGTATAATAATTGTGTTTACAGGAAATAATGTTTTAGTTTATTTCCCGGAAACATGAATTGAAAATTAGTCATTTATGGATTTGGGATATAAAGTAATTAATTTAAAACACAAAACAAAAATAGAGAATATTGACAATGTTATTGGAAATAGTGAATTCACGAGAAATCGAAACAATATGGTTGCGAACAATGAAGTTAAATTTCGTGGAATCGCGTAATGCTTTTTGGATAATGATTAAAATACACAAATGCACAACATTTTAATTAACTAGTTTATTTTGCTTTTGACGTAAAAAATCATTCATATTTTTTTTATTTATTTTTTTTATACCTAGAATATTTACTATAAAATTGAACACAGTACACAAATAAACAAAAATTTAATTAACTAGCTTATTTGTGTTAAATTTTATTTTTGATGATATATTTTTTTTTTTCTATTTTTATGTCGAAAACATTATGAAAGTTTACTGTAAAATGGATTTAGAATTTATTCCAAACGTCGTTGCAAATATGAGATCGATATAATTAGTTTGCATTTATTTTTAAGATTCACTTATGTGAAATAAGAAGGTGAATTGTTCGTTTGAATTAAGGAAATTCGCATCTTACGAGACATGCAATAAACTGTTTACGTAAATATAGGGAGAAAAGAACAAAGACAAGTACCGGTGCATCGAATAAACTATGCATTTCATAAATGTGTAATATTTATTTTTCAGTCAAAAGTCAATGTGGGTCTTTGACCCGATAAATTCATTAAAATTTATTTATTACTAAGACAAAATGCTTACGTTGGAATATTTTAAAAGTAAATCGAACAGTTTGATTAGATTTACACAAATAATACAAAAATAATACCCGGCGCATTCACAAAATTCTACATGTCTTTACAATTTGCGCTAGAAACTATATAGATAACTTTATGTATGTTCTTGTATTAATCTGAAGTTGATTGAAAAAGATCCGCGCTTTGTATTGGTGTGGATGTTGTATATAATATGTACATACGATTGCAAGCGCATGAAATATATAATGTATACCTAGGATGTAGGTGGGTAATTACTTGTCGATGCGCATGGAATTTGGAAATTGTTGACGGGCGCCGCGACGCTTAAATACGGGGTAGCGAGAAGCGAGCGTCGCAGTCCAGGTTGTGCTCCCAGACTCTGAACTTCTCCAGTCCAGTCCAGACTAGACCAGTCCAGACTAGATCAAACCAAACCAGATCGAACTTCTACTTTCTGGTAGGTGAAATGACACTGCCAATAACTAATAGCAATAATTTTGACAAATTCTTTTAAATATCAATTAATTTTATTCAATAAATAAAAATACTTAATTGCTATTATTTATTATACAAATCACATCATTTAATAATTTTTATATATGAAATAAATGTATTGGTCTAAATATATTTCAAATAATTTTCTAAATTATGCCTAAAAGCAACAATCCAACATTTACCATTTTTTTAAAATCAATTAAATAAAATTTACTTTAAAATTATTTGAATGTCCATTTTTTTTAAATCTGAATTTTCAATGAACTTCTATTAAAAAAATTAAATTTTCTAAATAATTA